TTTGCCAAATACTTATTGGGTACAATTTCTCTGTAACTGGGAGATGGATTAAAAAGATACACACTTCATAGGATTCATTTGAGGACAACATGGACTAATGTTTGTGCAAGCACTTGGCATATAGTTTTAACTGAATATAAAAGTTCAATAAATAATTAGAAAAACACAAGTTTTGGTCCTTTAAAACAATATAAAAAAGAGGTCTGAGTAAGTAAAAAATAACAAAAGAGTTTCATGTAGGAAAATAGAGGAGAAAGGGAGAAGTCACTAATTAAATTATTCCTTTTTTGTATTTTTTCCAAATATTTTAGATTGGAGGACCTGCGAGTAAAACTGGAGAAAGAAGGATATTCTAACATCTCCTATGTTGTTGTTAATCATCAAGGAATCTCTTCTCGATTAAAATATGTGCATCTTAAAAATAAGGTTTCAGAACATATTCCTGTTTACCAACAAGAAGAAAACCAACCAGATGTCTGGACTCTCTTAAACGGAAATAAAGATGACTTCCTCATATATGACAGGTGTGTACCCACATTTATACACACGTGCATGCACACCCACCCCCAAATTACAGTGTACCTGCTTCATATTTAATGTAATAAGTGATTTAAAATAAGACATCTGCTTTTATCTTGTTACCAAATACTCAGTTTCAAAGTGAGCCCATCAGAATGTTTGGTTTTGCCAGATGACTTCCTTTCACACTAAAGTATTTTCAAAATGACTTCCTTTTACACAAAAGAATTCACCACTCCAATAGGGAAATAAGGAAAATTGAATATACTTTCTTTCCCCTGTACATTAGCATTCTGATTAAAAAGAAAAATCAATTTGTATCTTATGTACAATTCTCACTTAAAAATTTTGCAGATGAATAACCATACTTTGCAGGCTACTGGCTTATCTCTAAAATCCAATTACTATGAATACATTTTAAGGTTATATACCTGCATTTCTGAACTATAAAGTATGTTAATCATTTAGGCATAATCTGTATGAATCTGCTTTTGATTCCATGAATGAATAAAATGTTTGTATTATGAAAGAACTTCAATGCATACATTATTTGCTATCATCATTTCTAGTTGGTGCTGGTTTGTTTTTTGGCTCTTCAGGAATGGTAAGCCAGACTCTGCCTAGGCCTGAGACCTACTTGGTCTTACTCTTAAGTATTTTTAATATTACATGTTATTCTTTTAGGACTGCAAGCTTCTAATTTAATCTGTTGCAAAGTGTAACCTTTTGATATTCATATAAAATTGTATATACAGGATAAAATGGGGGCCAAGAAAAACATTTCAACTCTACTGTTTCTGAAAATGCCAAGTGTATTTCCATTTCTTCCATTGTGCTGAAATTTTTGCTGTGAATTCTTTTTTAAAATTTAATTTAAAGATTCTTTTTAAATCAGTGGGCCACTGGTCAAGACGTGAGGATCTTTTTCATTATGCTGTGATTTCTTATTGTGTGGAATTTGTGCTGCCTTAGCAGTTATGAAAAGATCATGTGATTTGCAGACCTGATTTATGAGGTCAGTGGTTTGAACTTTGATAGAATTTATGAGTCAGTTACAAAATTGTATTTGACCAAATCACAATAACTAACCACATAATTTTGACATTATTTATTGTGACATATATCTATTTCATTTTTCACAATGCTAGTATCGGACTCACTGTAGTCTTTTTTTTTTTCTTGAAACTTTTATTTTGTGNTTCTTCCAAGGAGCAAGCATCTTTTAACTTCATGGCTGCAGTCACCATCTGCAGTGATTTTGGAAACCCTCAAAATTAAGTCTGTCACTGTTTCATTGTTTCCCCATCTATTTGCCATGAAGTGATGGGACCTGATGCCATGATCTTAGTTTTTTGAATATTGAGTTTTAAGCCAAAATATTGTAATGACTGTTATATTTTTCAGATGTGGCCGCCTTGTATATCATCTTGGTTTGCCTTATTCCTTCTTAACTTTCACATATGTAGAAGACTCCATTAAGACTGTTTACTGTGAAGATAAATGTGGAAACTGCTCTCTCAAGGTATTTTTCTCAATTGTTTTTCTTTGGAGAAAAGAAATCTTTAAAGAGCTATCTAAGTTAGTGTTTCATGACTAATTAGCTAAATCAGCGTTTCTTTTGGTATACTAGAAATAAACTACAATAGTCATTTTTATTATTAGCTACACTTCCTGTTATGTAACATACACTTTAAAACATCTTTTCAAGATTCATATTTCTTTTATCTAGGAGGAGTTTAGAGAACAAAAATCAATGCAGATTACATATTTTAATTACCACCAAATGATATTGCATGACTTTAAGTGCTTAAAGAATTCAGCCAACATAAAATACACGATTGCAATATTATGAATGTGCCCATATAAGAACACAGTGATAGCGAAGATTATCCATGGCATTACCTGAAGTGGACCAGGCCCAGATAACTACTTAACTCACCAAGAATGTAAGACTGTCAGCTTTTCTGTGACACTCTTACCCAGTGCACTTGGAATTACTGATACTTCTTTCTTAACAACCACTAAAATATTTATTCTTTGTTATGAGAAACACTATATGTATATATGATTTATAAAAAATATACTCAAGGAGTTGATTTTAACTTATATTAACTAAACTTCTTATATTAAATAAACTTCTTTTCCTCTCAGACTGAGAAGGAAAATAACTCCAAGCAATGTTTCCTTGACAGAGCAAGTTGGCAAAATTTGAACTCAGGTTCAAAAATAATTTTAAATTTTTATTTATAAGCTTTGCTTCCTTTAGATTTTTGCCCACTCTAGAGAAAGTCATTCACATTTTAATGACTCACTTAATAAGAAAATCAACAGTTTAATAGAAAATAATATTAGATTTGATGCTTTGTTGACACTGGTGTGAAAGGTTCCGTTTGGTAAACTGATTTTAGGATTTGATAGTTGTTTGATTTTACTGCAGTCAATCTAAGTTCTTTTAACCAGTTAGTTTATTTAGTTTTGCTTCTGCAGATATAAATATAGTGGCTTTCTTTTTAAGCCTTATGTATCTCTCAAATTCTTCCTCAATACTCTTAAAAATTTAGGAAATGCTCTTAATAAGGAAAGGAAAATTTGAATTCTGCTGTTGATTTAACTAGTATAGAAGCTTAAGTAAATTGTTAAAGCTTTAACTTACTACATTTTTTGTCTATTTTCAAAACATTTACATTGATTCATTTGCATAATGTTTGACGATTCTTTAGTTAAATGCAAACTTTGTACAAGAAGCACTTTATAATTAGATATGGATGGGAACCAAATTTTAATGAAAAGTCTAAGTGTTGAGGCTGAGATCAATTTTTTTTCTCTTATTAATATGATGCCGGAAACAGAAAACCAGTTCAAACCTAATTAAGCAGTTTGACTTTCATATATGTTAACTCCAGAATTCATTTTTTCATGCATTCTTGCTAAATCTATAAATTTGTTAAGTGATTTATAAAATGTATTCCAGACACTGGAAGATGAAGACTTCTGTAAAAATGTATCTCTGGCTACCAAGGAGAAAACAGCTGAGGCTTCACAGCGACATCACCAACACCATCACCATCACCATCACCATCAGCAGCCCCATCCCCATCCCCATCCCCATCCCCATCCCCATCATGGGCATCAGCTTCATGAAAATGCTCATCTTTCAGAGTCTCCAAAACCAGACGCACCAGATACCCCTGAGAATCCCCCTCCTTCGGGTCTTCATCACCACCACCATAGGCACAAGGGTCACCAAAGACAGGGTCACTCAGATAACTGTGATACACCAGTAGGAAGTGAAAGTTTACAACTTTCTCTTCCACAAAAGAAGCTCTGACGAAAGAGATGCATAAATCAGTTACTCTGACAGTTTCCCAAAGATTCAGAATCTGCTTTGAGTAGCTGCTGTTGCCACTGTCGACATTTGGTATTTGAAAAAACAGGGTCTGCAATCACCTGACAGTGTAAAGAAGACCTCCCCTCTCTATGTAGCTGACAGGGCCTTTTGGCAGAGGAGAACGTCATTGAATCTTGACAGTGACGATTGCCTCCAGCTGCCTGACAGGCAGCAGGTCAGCAGCTCAACCCCACAAAACCCAGCACCAAGTGAAGCTGAAAAAATCAGGACAAACTGTGAAAATGACCTTCAAATTAAATATATGAAATTGGATATACTCCCCAAGTCAATCTACACTATTACATTTCCAGCATTTTTATAAGCTACCTAATTAATAGTGATCCAAAAATAGGAATTGGATTTGTGCAAATATGGAGAAATTGACTTCCACATTTTAAAATTTAAGTCAGAGAAATTTTGACCCACCCAAACCATATTTTTATTCAGCTGAAAGGTGGTTGCAGCATTTGGTTAATATGTTTTTCTTTTTCTTTTTCCAGTATTCTACTTGCATTAATGAGAACAGAAACGTAAACTATAACCTAGGGGTTTCTGTTGGATAGTTGGCAACTTAGAATGGAGGAAGAACAACAAAGACATGTTATCCATTTTTTTCTTTACTTATTTCTCAAAACAATATTATCTTTGTCTTTTTAATCTTATGTTTTTAACAGATTAAAACTTTAAAGCAGGAAGTGAATTCTGTCTTTTCAGACCCAGAAATACTCACACATGAATATTTTGCTATGATTACATTTTAGATATCCATTTATACTTTTTTATATCTAAGACTCATATCTTGATTTTTACTATCATATGAATGAAGGCTTTATATCTTGTTTTCTTTATCTAGCATTTTATCATACTCTTTAAAATTTGAGACTGCCAATCTTGAAAGATAGATGGGAAAAGATAAAAGAATGTTGTCTAACTCTTAATTGCTTAGGAAGTATTTCCATAGTCAATGATGGTTCAATAGGCAAACCAGGTCCTATAAACCTGAATTTTTTTATGGTTAATACTATTAAGCAGAAATGTAGAACAGGACTGGCAAAAATGTGGATGTTTAAATTCAATAAAAAAGTTTAAAAAAGCTTTTTGTTTTCATTGTTGTTATTACTTAGGTAGTGTGATATATTGACAATCAAAATTAATTTTCAACTGCTTTTAAAGAAGTTAAATAGCAACTAATGAATCTACTCAAAACCGTCTACGCTTAAAGTGAGAATCTTTGCCAACAAGTTTAACTTGAGAATCTTTGCTGACAGAGAGGCGTTGTTCTAAATCATGAACGGTATTACGAAGAACTGCAATCTCCTTGTCTTTTTCTTCCTGAAGATGTTGAAGTTTCTAAATGGAGCAGAACAATTTTGTTATTGCAGTTCATAAATGATAACAACTAAGCATTAATACAAGGAACAACAAAACAGCAAAAACTATGCTTCTGGTTTAAGTAGAAGTAGGTATTTAAAAAGATACCATATTTTAAAAGGTCTATAATTTTGTTTTTGTAGGCATTAACAGGGTAAAACTGGTGTAAGGACAAAAAACACACATTAGCACTATTTGTTGAACAAGAAGAAATACGCTGAGTACCTAAACAACTTCATAATAGTAAGTCAGCTTTAGTTCAAAATACATTGTGGAATTCCTGAGATAGTCCAAAGGGTCAAAGGACTTGTCTAATGTTTTAATTTACTACTAAGATTTACTAGTTTAAATTGAAAGTGACTTAGAAAGATTATTAAAAATTAATAATGTCTTTCTCATAGTGGGATAGATATATTTTCAGGAAAACTGCTAAGTAAATATAACTTTTATGGAAACACATTAAGAATTTTTTTGAGCAACAGTCATGGAAGAAAAACTCACGTACCCTTTTGTAGATACTGTGTGGCGAAACAGTAGAATCTGGATATGACTTTGCTTTAGTTTGAACTCTTGCTAGCTTGGCATCAAACTGAATCAAGTTTAAAAAGAAAATTGAGAACATTCTAGTTAAATGAAACAACTGTTTCTATAAATATAATCCACTATATTCTTAGATGTATAACCTGTAGTTCAAGTGTATTCACTGTATAACAGAAGATAGGAAAGTCTTCAGAACAAGGACTACCCAAACAAGATTAACCCCAGCTGCACTTTAAAATTATCTGGACAGGTTTTTTAAAGAACCGAATACCTGGATACTACCTTAGAGATTCTGGGGTGGGGTCAGGAGCATTTTTCCTCAAGACATCAGTTGATTCTATCATGTAGGGTTAAGAATCTAGTTAACTAGGGTTGAGAATCTCATTAACTTAAAGGTAGATAAAAATACTTTCATGTTACTATGAGTGTATTTTGTAAAGAAAATGTAGCGTAATCAACAGTCATGGGAAAAAATTTAAATACCCTTCTCTATAGAAACTGTGAGGCTAAATAGTAGAATTTGGATATGATTTTACTGATTTAGTTTGAATGCTTGCTGGTTTGACATTAAGCTGTATCAGGTTAAAAAAATTCTCATGGGCCATTCTTACAGGTCATTTTTTTGGGCAAAATCTTCCATTATTTTTCCTTGATGTTGAGTTTAGTGTCGCCTCAGTGTGAACTAAGAATAAACTCAGTAAGATTGTGTTCTGGTTTGGGGAGAGAATGAATAGTTACAATGAAGAAAAATAGCAAGTAAAAGTCGCACAGTCGTGCCTGGCTCTTTGTGACCCTATAGACTATATAGTCCATGGGATTCTCCAGGTCAGAATACTGGAGTGGGTAGCTGTTCCCTTCTCCAGGGGGTCTTCCCAGCTGAGGGATTGAACCCAGGTTTCCTGCATTGCAGGCAGATTCTTCACCATCTATCTTTCTACACATTTATTAGGGAAAAAATAGTTATTTATTGTAAATGAAAAACTTCCAGTTGGTTCATCAGGGTTTCACAATTACTGCTGAGGAGAGAGTGACATTAAGGATTAAAAACACTCTCCCGACTGCTAGAATGGTAGTCCTAAAACGGCTGCACAGACTCAGCTGTCACATGCAGGTAATCTTTGAGCTGTCTCTGCACCCAGAGGAGATAGTACCCTCTATGGAAATCAGCACCTTTTGAACGACTGAAGAGTCCCACTTTGAGGCCAAGTGCTGAAAGGCAGTGTAGCTAACAGTTGAGTAGGGTTTGAGCATTGCAGGCTATGGATAAAGAATAAGCATGTGTGAAACTGTCTCACAGGGTTGTTTCTAATCCTGAAATTTCACTGGGATGACAAAGAATGGCCTAGACTAAGAGATGCATCCTCAAATTCAGCAGAGCCTTAAACACTTACCTCTAGCTGTAGTTTGATCATTTCATTTTGTTTTTCCCTTTCTTGAGTTCTTAACTTTGCATTTAACTCGGAAATTTCCAACTCCTTTTTCTCTATCAGTTCTTTATTCTTTTCTTCGCTTAATTTGACTGAATAAAAAAAATTCACCTTAACATTTCAAAAATCTTAAAAGATTACTTTTTTGTATTTAAAAAAACAACAAGAAAGTACAATTTATAAATAAAAATGTATTTTAGAAACTGTTTATGTGCAGGGTAGCTTTTATATAGTTTTAACAAGTCCCTTAAAAATGACTGAAACAAAAGGGCTGCCCGTTGAATGCTTTTGAATGAGTAAACTAATTTTTACTCTTAAATATCTAGAGAATAATGTTCTCTGAATGCCTGGAGAATAGGAGATTTATTGGTTAAAAAGGGACACAAAGCCTGGGTTTCTAGGTATAGAGGGCTTCACATCACAGGATGACTAGAGGTATACCAGCTTGTTCTGGCTCCCTCATTATTTCCCTTCATCAGCATTTTGTCCAATAAATTTCTTTGAATTTTTACTCCCATTTTAGTGGTTCCTTGGAGGATATGAATCAGCACAAGAAACAGTTAGGATGGGCACTTAACACTTTGTGAGGAAGAGGACGCCATCATCAGTGGTTTGTGGAAGACTGTGAGTTCCTAGTACACCACAGGGGTCTGATTACTCAAGATTTTGTTGTTGTTTAGTCGCTAAGTCATGTCCAAATCTTTTGTGACCCCATGGAGTGTAGCCTGCCAGGCTCCTCTGTCCACGGGATTTCCCAGAGAAGGATACTTGAGTAGGCAGCCACTTCCTTCTCCAGAGGATCCTCCCAGTCTAGGGATTGAACCCATCTCTCTTGCATTGGTAGGTGGATTCTTCACCACTGAGCCTTCAGGGAAGCCCACTGAAGGTTTTCCCAGAAGTTATCTGGGAAAACATCCTGGTGGAGGTGAACACCTTGTAGGTATAATAGTTCAGGCATTTGAAGATGAGAGAAACAAAGCTCACCAAGACAGCAGAGTTATTTATTGCTAAATTAAACTGGCCTCCTGTGTGTGCGTGCTCAGCTGGTTCAGTCGTGTCTGACTCTTTGTGACCCCATGGACCACCAGGGTCCTCTGTCTCTGGGCTTCTCCAGGCAAGAATACTGGAGGTGAGTTGCCGTGCCTTCCTCTGGGGGGTCTTCCCAACCCAGGGATCGAACCTGCATCTCTTACATCTACCTGCATTGGGATAATAAGAAACTGAGAGCTGTTAGAAGGTAAAGATTTAAAGAACAGGTGTGAGTCAGACGGTCTCTTTGGAAGCCCACAGACAGGCTCTTATGAACTCTAGAGGATGAGCAGGCACAGCTGAGCAACAGAGTCTAATCATTAATGTTGCAGAACTCCAGAGAGGTTTAAATGCTCAGCTGAAACAGGTGTGCCATGCTAAATTAGGATCCTGGTTGGAAACACCTAATATCCTAAAAAATAGGACATGGATATCTGGATCAATGCCTGTGAGGAAACTGCTTTGACAGCTCCCCTAAATGCTCAGAATTGGCAGGAGTGACCTACCTTTTCCTAGTAAAAGCTAGCCCTTAGCTTAGCTGATGAAAGATGCTGCAGAGGCTCCTCTCCAAAGCTGCCTGGCCTCTTCTGGTGGCTAGGCCAGTAACTAGGGTTAAAGCTCAGTATCACCTGGCTAGGGGAGTGCTGGGGCTGGTAAGTGGGGAAAGTGAATATACCCCCAAAGAGCTGCAAGAATTAGCTAGGTTGTATTGGGAAGAGCCATGTGAATACCCTTGAGAAACCACTTTGAGGGTGCTGGATAGAAGAAGACAGAAACTAAGACTAGGTAAGCAAGAATTCATGGACTTGAAGATAATCTTTAGGGTCAGGGGACATAATACCCTAGCAAGGACCCAGGATGTGGGGCAAATTCTGTTGGAGTAGCCTTAGACCTCTAGAGAAAGCACTGGCCAAAACAGAGAGAAGTGGCAACACCTGAGATGCCCTGGCAGCTAGCGAGAAAGGTATAAGGAGGCTCTCAAAAGCTGGCATGCTTGAGTAGATGTATCTTGCGAGGCAAGAAAATGCACCAAAGGATTATGTTCCTTAGGAGGACACAGAAGACACACTATTAATCAAGCCACAGGGAATGTGCTGGTGAGAGACAAACCAGCATCGCTAAGTTCAACTTTCACTCTTATCTGCAAGCTAGGTCTAACAGTAAGAGGTTATAAAGTTGGGCTCATTAATATTCATGAATGGTGTCCCCCTTCCCCCACTAAGTTATAGAAGCCAGATGATGGTGCTTGACTGCCAGAAGCCAGGAGGCCACAATTATCATAACGACCAGAAAGGTCAGAAAGCAGCCAAACGGGTGTTTTTGAGAATCATAGAGTTAGTTAACAGATGAGCAGTAAATGCTGCTTAACAAGTACAAAAGAAATAAGAATGGAGGAACAGGAGGCTGAGGGCACATGGCCCTGTTAAAAATTATTCTTTGCTCGGTTCCCTAACCTGAACCAAGGTTTTGGTCTAGGACCTGCTGACTGAAAATACACAATTAGGTTCCTAGGAGGAAGAACATTTCAACAACCCCTCTTCTAGGTTTCTCCTGAGGAAGAAGTGCCCACAGGAAGTATGGAGAACCTGCTGCCTGAACTCCTATGGAGAAGGAGGTACGTATAGCATAAGGAGGGGACTGTTGTGGCCAAGAAAATGCATCTTTCAGATCTCCAACTTCAGGGAACATAACTGACTCATTGTTTTTCATGACCATATTTATGCTGAGGTCAGGATTCCCAAGAGCTGCTCCTAGCCACTGACTGAACTTGGCATGGATACTAAGGCAGATTTGTTTCTGAGAGTTGTAGAACTTGGTTGATGGGCAACTTTGGCCCAACTTTGCTGACTTTTTTCTTATAAATGTGTCACAGACTGACTTCACCTGGCCAGCACCCCTTTCTTCCTTCTCTTTTTCACATCGGTTCGATCTGTAACAGCTAACCCATCTCCCCCAGTTCCCTATCTACCCTCACAAATGTTTTCCTTTACAAATCTCTTGAATGTCTAATTCTATCTAGGCATCTGCTTCTCAGAGAACCCAAAGAAACTGCAAAAGTTGTGTAATTTTACAATCCCACTGGTAATGTATGAGAATTCTAATTGCTCCATATCCTCACCAACACTTGGCATTGAAGTTTTGAGTCCATGGGGTTGCAAAGAGTCGGACATGACTGAGTGACTGAACAACAGAAGGTGCAATGTGGTATCTCATTGTGGTTTTAATTTGCATTTTTCTTCGAACCAATTATGTTGAGCATGTTTTCATGTGTTTATTGTCATCTGTACATATTATTTGTGTCCAAATATTTTGTCCATTTCCTTATTGGGTTGTTTGACTTATTATTGAATTAAGAGTTCCTTATAGATTTTTGAACATAAGTTCTTTATCAGTTTTGCATTTGTAAGTATTATCTACTGGTCTGTAGCCTGTCTTTTCATTTTCTTTTGTGTTGAAGGACAGAAGTTAATAGTTTTTGATGTTCAATTTAGAATTTTTTCCTTTATTGTTTGTGCTTTTTGTTTCTTTGTAAGAAATTGTGGCTAACTCAGGGTCACAAAGATTATCTTTTATACTTTCTTTAGCTTTTTATAGATATAGGTTTACATTCAGACCTATTATTCAAGTTAATTTTTGCATATGGTGTGCATCTAGGCTTGTTAAGAAACTTTTTAATACCTTTATGAAACCAGTTAACTCTCAACATTAGTTCATGAGACCTACTTTGCTAAAGGAAAATATTTCATTAGTGAAATTATATTCAATATATGAGTATATAAATATAAAAGCTAGCTTACATTTTACATTAATTTTACAATAATATTAACTATCTCACATTAAAAAATGTTAAATTCAAACTCCATGAGTCCAATTTATAAATAATATATAGAAAGCAACAAAACCTAAATTCAGATGTGTTAAGACAGTATTTATTCAAGAATACTGGTAATTACTGAAAAAAATTATATATGCATGTAAGTTTTTTATGGAATCTTAGAATTCAGTAAATTAAAAATAAAAACTTACCTTTATTCTGCATATCTTGATAAAGTTTTGTCATTTCAATCTTATGTCCCTCCTCTTTGATTTTCATTTCACTCATAAGTTTGGCGATATTACTCCTATGTTCCTATGGATTAAAACATATATTCATTGTTCAATTTAAGTATGTGTTCACATTTTTTGATTAATTAGATGAAATTTTCAAAGTTTATATTAATTTTTGATGTATAATTATATCTAGAGAGGAAAGATATTGTTCATTGTTTGAATGCTAAACTTTGAGAAGGATCAATTTCTTGTTCAAGTAGAAAGATCATCTAGACACAATGATTTTTTTTTTTTAAGACACAATGATTTTTTATCTTTGCCTCCTGAATTCTCATCACCATAACTTATCATAGATACTCAAAATATTTTAAGTGTGTGCAGAAATGCATTGAACATTAAAATATTTCAAAAAAGCCAAACTATATTATATAGTCAACTTTATGTATCATTTGATAGCCAGCAAGCTTACCCTAATATAGGGTGAATCTCTGAATGTGGGCTGAATTTCCATTTCTGACAATTATATAAACATCCCTAATCTCCAGGAGGAGGTTAAGCATTATCTATGGTAAGGGTCAGCTTTATGAGGAGGCTAAAGAAGGATGAATTTGGGATCTGAGACGTGTTCAACAGCTTCCTGAGGTTAGTTTCATAGGTTGTTGAAGCAGAGAAGTGATTTATTATGCTCATAAGGAGAGTGGCATTTAAAAAAGTATTTATTTTATTTTTTGGTTTGCTGGGTCTTCATTGCTATACAAGGGCCTTCTCTAGTTGCAGAGAGCAAGGGCTACTCTCTAGTTGGGGTGCCTGGGCTTCGCATTGTGGTGGTTTCTCTTGTTGCAGAACACAGGCTCTAGGCACATGGGCTTCAGTGGTTGTGGTGCATGGGCTCGCTGCTCTGTGGCACGTGGAATCCACGCAGATCAAGGATCAAACTCACGGCCCCTGTCCTGTCAGGTGGACTCTTACCTACTGTACCGCCAGGGAAGTCCCTGGAGAGTGGCACTGAGGAAGTGTGCAAAGAGAAATCCACCAGAGAGATTAAACTTTCAATTTTTCCAGAGGTATATTTCTAAATGGAGAGGAGTAAAGGAAAGAAGGAAGAATAAAAGCAAAGTGGGGGAGTAAGAAAGAGACAATGAAGAAGGCAAGAGGCCCAGAAAAATCTTCTAATAAACATGGTAAGGCTTCCCAGGTGGCACCAGTGGTAAAGAATCTACCTGTCAGTGCAGGAGATGCAGGTAACGAGAGTTTGATCCCTGGGTCAGGAAGATCCCCTGGAGTAGGAAATGGCAACCCACTTCACTATTATTGCCAAAATCCCATGGACAGAGGAGCCTGGTGGACTGTAGTCCATGGGGTCGCAAAAAGTTGGACATGACTGGGCACACATGTGTGTTAAACACTGTAAAAGCAGGGATTTTGTTTTTACTCGCTGTTGTATTCCTACCTCCTGGTGTATATCCCTTGATATATATTCAATGAATAAGAATACTAATAAGAATTATTTGTTAGAGGTTCTTACCCTAGACCCAGATAAAGGGTTTTCAAGGGTCTGTTAACTTCCTGAAATTGTATGCAAAATCATGTCTGTGTGCATGCATGTGCCCTTTTGAGCACTTTTTAAAAAATCAGGGTTCATGGGTTTTAATAGATATTCAGGTATTTGAGGAGATTAAAAAAAGTCAAGATCCACTGGTTTATTAAGCAGCTATAATTAAAAATAAAGTAACTTACATAATTAAAAGTTAAGAATTTCCTTAAATTCAAGAGGATACAGTCAGGATTCCTACTTGTGCTGCTTAGTTTGCCAGAAAACTTGCAGGGATGGCTGAACCTATCCAACCATTGCCTTTGATTAAAGTTAGGTAGGTGACTCAAGGGGTCAATCTCATAGACTGTGATATTTTTCCTATGCATGTATCTAGATTTCTAGATGGGCAACTACACAATGGCTTTCATAATGACTCCTGACTCATATGGGTGCGCTAAGCAGTTGCTGCTCTGGGAAACTCTAGGAGACAAATCTACATGTCTTTTCATTCTCCATTGATTTTTCCCATCTGACATGTTGCCATTAGTTTGGTAAGACTGAGGATTTTCACTGTAGTCTTGATGCATGAAGCCTATCTTAAATGTCTGGGTTGGTACAGGCTGTATCTCACTAGGTTCTTCTCCTCTAGTATAACCTGTAACAGCCCCAAGGAGTCCAATCCTTTCTTCTTTTTAAGGGAACAAAATTCCAACAGGTTCTTCTTGATTGCCTTCTTTTCATTTGCTTTCTTGACAACTTTAAATGCTAAGGCACAGTTTCAGGTTATATTTTCCTATAAAACTTAAGAATTCTTCAAATACAAGTTACAAATCTTCCAGTCTCATAAATACGGCTGTTAAGTAACTCCTAAGTTTATTTCTAGGGAGTGGTTCTCCATATGTCTTGGATGTGCCTGGAGATGTTGTACTAGAGAATGTTCATTAGATTGAGGTTATCTTTAGTTTGCTTTGGACAGCAGTTAATAAGTGCAGAATCTTGGGTTACAGTGTTTATTCTGTCATTCTCACCCCTCTGAAGATTCATATTATCTTAGACAAAGTATTCTACAATTTGACATTAGAAGAGAAAGGAGGCAGAAGTTTTCCCCCTTTCTGTTCCAGTTACACTTACACCCTGACTTCACAGTTATTGTTGAAATGTAAAGATATGAAAAGGATGGAAAAATAAAGGAAAGACATAAAGGAAATATAAAGAATGGGATATAACCCAGAGGTATTTAAATTATTTCAAAATTGGTGATGAGAAGCTAAATTTTCCAAGAGTACATCAGATGCCATTCATTACTCCTGAGTATTACCTAGAAGCTCTGGCATGTTTACAGAATTAGCTTGTGTTTCTTCAAAGGCTCTTTAAGTGAAGAACCAGACTGAAACAGAGATGATCCTTCAAGTTGAAGTTCTAAGGTGGATACATATCTAAGCTGAGTTTTGGAAATCTTAGATCTGCCAGAGTTTGACATATTGGTTCTTGGGAGATGAGAAAAAACTCACATAATAAACCTCCCAAAGGGCAGAGGGGTGGGAACTTATATTCATTGAGGATATTTTATGTTTTATGTTCTATAATTACTATCATGATGCTGTTCTTATAGGAGAGAAGAAAAAGTAGCAAAGTGTATGTTGGCTCTTGGGAGAAAATTAATTGGTGACCCACACAAAATGCTCTCTTCATTTGGATGGTGCCATAAAATTTCAATAGATAACTCAAATCATAAATACTGAAGGCATTCACTTTATCATAAAAAAGCTTTTATAAAGTGCTAATTAAGAGTATACCGAATAATAAAAACTCAAACATAACTTTAAATGGCAAAATTGTTGCATCCCTTTTTATCAAAAGAAAAAGTAATGCAAGCAATATACTAGTGCATTATCTGTAAAACACTGAGGGTCTTCAAAACTTGTATCTTTTTGGCTGCTTCTATTAATGAAAAATGACTTTTTTTTTTCTAATTTGGGAAGACAGTGCTCCACAGGGATTTGATTGACTATAAAGACACATAAACTCACCTGTTCATGCACTTTAAACTTTTCTTTCATAAGATCAGCATTTCTTTTTAGTTGTTCATTTTCACCTGTGTGAAAGTCATTGAAGAGTATTATAATATATAGAACTTTTCAAATAATATGGGAATATTTTTAACCCATCAAGTTTCTGTTCATGTATGTATTAAATATGTGAATACAAAATCTACTACACATTAGGCTCTGTGCATGACATTGGGAATGCGGAAACAAAAAAATTATTGCTGTTCAAAGAACTTCTAGCCTAGTGGTAAGACAGATGTGTAGGCAGTTATGACAATGCTGAGATAACCATTCTGTAATGGCAGTGTGTCTGAAATATGGCGGGGAGATATGGAAGAAAAGCTTAGGTCATTTCTAAGTCAGGAAAGAGTTTATGGACGAGGAAGCACTTGATCTGAGACTTAAGTAGTAAGTTGGAGGGATGTATTCTAGATACAGAAAACTATCCAGAAGACTTTGGACTTGAATGAATATAGCACATTTGGGAAAATTACAATTCAAGTACAGCATTGTTGGAGTGTAAATTATAAGGAGAATGTGTTAAATAGGTTGGGAAAGTAACTTTATAGGAGGTAGACAGATTCTGGGTGAAAAACTTTGAATTTTATTTTATAGGTTATAGACTCATCAAAGAATTCTGAACAGTGAAATGAAATGATTAGTTACATGTTCAAAAAGATTATCTGGCAGTGCGGAGGATGAATAGGGAAGGGGCTGACCCCAGAGGATGTCCATACATCAGTAATAGATCAAGTAAGAAATAATGGGAGCCTAAATTAGGTCACTGGCAGTAGGAGACAATGGAAAATAAAGACAAATATATAGATGATAGAATTACCAGGAGACTTAATACTGGTTGGATAGCAGCAGCTAAAGCAAAAGGGGAACCTTTGCCTTCTAGGTTTCTGATTTGAATGGATGAAAACTGTTAATCAAGTTGGGAAAAATTAAAAGGGGAAGATTTTTAGGAGTAGAATGATGAATCTCTATCTTTATCATGCCAAATTTGAAATGCTTGAGATATTCAGGAGAATATTTCTTATAGGCTGAGAAACATTTAAAAATGGCTAAAGGAAACTATCCTATATCCTATCCTATAAAGACTAAGAAGTGTCCAGAGATGCAGGAGAGGGTGTTACTAAGAGAAGAGAGTTTATGGGGGTTATAATCCATGGCAGTAAATGCAATAAAAAGGTGAAATGAGAGAACTTTGAATCTGAAATCTTTGGGAGATGCCCAGTTGTTCTACATTGAAGACTAGGTGAAAAGTGAAGTCAAAGTGAAAGTGACTCAGTCATGTCCAATTCTCTGCAACCCCATGGACTGTATAGTCCATGTATGACTAATCCAGCCCAGAGTACTGAGGTGGGTAGCCTTTCCCTTCTTTAGGGGATCTTCCCAACCCAGGGATTGAACCCAGGTCTCCCACATGGCAGGTGGATTCTTTCCCAGCTGAACCACAAGGGAAGCCCAAGCATACTGGAGTGGGTAACCTTTCCTTTCTCCAGTGGATCTTCCCAACCTGGGGATTGAACAGGGGTCTCCTGTATTGCAGGTGGACTCTTTACCAACTGAGCTATCAGGGAAGCCCAAAGACTAGATGAAGGTAAGGAAATAGAGATAGCGAGTGCAGACTATTCCCTTGAGATTCTATTGCAAAAGGAAAGAGTGAGGGTAATTGCAGGGAATAAATCCAAAATCAAGGACACTTTGTTGTGTTTATTGAAAAGATGGGAGAGATCTGAGTTGTTTAAAAGCTGAGAGGAATGACCAATAGAAAGAGGGAAATGAAAGAGATAAAGGAAGGGACAATAGAAGATGCAACATCCCAGAAGAAAGGTGAAGAGAGATGAGAGTTAAGTGGAAAAATAACTTTGGATAGGAAGAAGGATTTTTTTTCCTTCAAAGGAGGAAGAAGTAAGGATATGTCTGTGTATGAATACACTGGAGGAACTGCAGTGGGAAGAAGGGGTAGTAGGTGACAGAAAATCAGGTAGTTTATGTCTGACAGTTTTCATTTTTTCTATGAAATAGAAAGTATAGTAGGTTCAAAGAGATATAAATATTTAAAGTTGGGGACTTAATGAAAAATTTAAAAGCCTGGATAAATTAAGGGTATATGGGAAACTGGGACTCATGTTTAAATGTTTTTGTATTTTATTTTTTTTTTTTTTTTTTTTTTTTTTTTTCCTTATAGCCTTCAGTGCCTATAGCACTGTAAGTCAAACAAGTATATGGCTGGATTGATCTGTATTTGAGGATTAGTATAGTTTGTATTCTAGGATAGGTGAGGGAAACAAAACCACTGTCCAAAAAAGATGAGGGACTTCCCTGGTGGTTCAGTGGCTAAGACTCTGAGCTCTCAATGCAGGGAGTCAGGGGTTGATCCCTGGTCAGGGAACTAGATCCCATACACTGCAACTAAGACTTGGTGTGGCCAAATAAATAAATATTTTAAAAAAGAAGATGAGTTGATATCCTAAGCTAAGCTAAACTAGAAGGAAAGGAAGGTTTAATCTTTGAGCCACATTTTTGAGAACCATAGTTTTATTTAGATAATGCCCTATTAAGTAAAACTTAAGAAAAAATGAATTTAAGTAAAATACAGTTTTTCATCTTCAATTTGCCCTACTATTTCATACCTATCATAATTCTGACATTTTTTTTTTTTAAATCAAAACTCTTCTCTTGACAAGACATGATGGAGATGGAGGGGTGCTTCACATTTTTACTCTTGTTAATCATTTCACTCTTGTTAATCACTAGGTGTTTTAAGGAAAATCAGATATACTTAGATCAGGAAAAAGTCAGTCCTGATTTAGTGTGTGGTGAGGGTTTGAAGATTGCCAGGAGAAATATCAACAACCTCAGATATGCAGATGCATCCTTACGGCAGAAAGTGAAGAGGAACTAAAAAGCCTCTTGATGAAAGTGAAACAGGAGAGTGAAAAAGTTGGCTTAAAACTCAACGTTCAGAAAACTAAATTCTGGTCCCATCACTTCATGGGAAATAGATGGGGAAACAGTGGAAACAGTGTCAGACTTTATTTTTTTGGGCTCCAAAATCACTGCAGATGGTGACTGCAGCCATGAAATTAAAAGATGCTTACTCCTTGGAAGGAAAGTTATGACCAACCTAGACAGCATATTAAAAAGCAGAGACATTACTTTGCTAACAAAGGTCCGTCTAGTTAAGGCTATGGTTTTTCCACTGGTCATGTATGGATGTGAGAGTTGGACTGTGAAGAAAGCTGAGCCCTGAAGAATTGATACTTTTGAACTGTGGAGTTAGAGAAGACTCTTGAGAGTTCCCTGGACTGCAAGGGGATCCAACCAGTCCATCCTAAAGGAAATCAGCCCTGGGTGTTCATTGGAAGGACTGACGCTGAAGCTGAAACTCCAATACTTTGGCCACCTCATGTGAAGAGTTAACTCATTGGAAAAGACCCTGATGCAGGGAGGGATTGGGGGCAGGAGGAGAAGGGGACGACAGAGGATGAGATGGCTGGATGGTATCACTGACTCGATGGACATGAGTTTGAGTAAACTCCGGGAGTTGGTGATGGACAGGGAGGCCTGGCGTGCTGCGATTCATGGGGTCGCAAAGAGTCGGACACGACTGAGAGACTGAACAGAACTGAGGGTTTGAAACAGAGCAAGGATCTGTACCTGAGCCAGACATTAAAGGTGCCCATTTAAAAATTCTTTGTTCCTGCTGATCAATTTGTAGAGCTCTTGTATTGTAGATATAAACTAAGTTGATATTTGAAAACACTTTTATTTCAAATAAATCATTTATTTTTTGACTTGTTTTACACATAGTATGCAGAGTTCTTTTTACATTGTTGTTGTTTGTACTTTTGTTGCATTGTTGTTAAGAAAGTGTGTTAGGTCTTTTTTTTTTACTTTATATAGTAACTGAGCTTCCCAGATTGGTTAAGATGCTATCCCTCAGCTCCAGGTTGTATGCTTTTCCTGGATTTTAAGTTTCTATTGTTCTTTTTTGCACTAAAGTTGTTTTTTTAAATCCATCTGGAATTTATTGTTGATATGGTTGGAAAACTTTCCAGCACATACTTTACTGGTATGTGCCAGTACCATACTTTAAATATCATTCTTTTTCAATAAATTGAAATATTCCTTGCATCATACATTAAGTTAGCAAATATTGGGGCCTGTTTCTAGACTCTACATCATTCTTTCCATGGATGTATTTTTCACTTTCTATGCCAATACCATATTGATTTCATTACAATGGCTTCTGAGCATGCTGTTTTCTGGTAGCGGAAGACCTCCTCCCTTATGTTCTTCTTATTTTTCATATTTTGTTTTTGTTTGTTTCTTCTGTTAAATGAACTGTAAGGTTAGCTTATGCAATCTTCTCCTTTACCCTTAGATTTAATATTTTAATTTAAACTATGTGAAATGTGTATGTTAAATTTAGGAAAATGACATTTTAATGATGTTAAGTTTTTCCCTCTGCCAGAAATACTGATCAACCCATCTAAATGTTAGTATCTAGCTTTGGCATATCTGTAATTATGCTAAACAGAAGCACATAACTTACCTATGAATTAAAGTCATCTACTGAAGAAATAGCTAACCTCCTTAATATTTCATACTGCACCTCAGTTGGCTTTTTTTTGGCTTTCATCTGTAGTATAATCTATGTTATATTATTATTATAATCCATGTTATATAATTATTGTTGGCACTGCTGTTTTTCATCATCTTCCCAGATTTCACATTAGAATTTCAAACACATATCTCTACACTTCCTTAAGGTATAAGACTCCTGCTGCACTGGCTGGAGTAGAGATAAAGTCAAATAGCATCTTGATCACTGTAGCGTCCACCTGGTCCTCATATTTGACAAGGAATTGCTCTCTAACCTGAGCTAGACTTTGCTTTAAATCCAGAAAGAAGGAAATGGTCTTCTAAGAAACATGAATGAACAAGCAACTCTATCATATCCTTTCTAACTACTTCTGTTACTTCTATGAGCCAAACAAAAAATGATGACATGGAACAAAAGGGAAAATTAGGG